ACTGTCACGTCATATATCAGGGGCTAGGACTGTCACGTCATATATCAGGGGCTAGGGCTGTCACGTCATATATCAGGGGCTAGGGCTGTCACGTCATATATCAGGGGCTAGGGCTGTCACGTCATATATCAGGGGCTAGGACTGTCACGTCATATATCAGGGGCTAGGACTGTCACGTCATATATCAGGGGCTAGGGCTGTCACGTCATATATCAGGGGCTATTGCTGTCACGTCATATATCAGGGGCTAGGGCTGTCAGGTCATATTTCAGGGGCTAGGGCTGTCAGGTCATATATCAGGGGCTAGGGCTGTCACGTCATATATCAGGGGCTAGGGCTGTCACGTCATATATCAGGGGCTAGGGCTGTCACGTCATATATCAGGGGCTAGAGCTGTCACGTCATATATCAGGGGCTAGGGCTGTCACGTCATATATCAGGGGCTAGGGCTGTCAGGTCATATTTCAGGGGCTAGGGCTGTCAGGTCATATATCAGGGGCTAGGGCTGTCACGTCATATATCAGGGGCTAGGGCTGTCACGTCATATATCAGAGGCTAGGACTGTCACGTCATATATCAGGGGCTAGGACTGTCACGTCATATATCAGGGGCTAGGACTGTGACGTCATATATCAGGGGCTAGGGCTGTCACGTCATATATCAGGGGCTAGGACTGTCACGTCGTATATCAGGGGCTAGGGCTGTGACGTCATATATCAGGGGCTAGGGTTGTCACGTCATATATCAGGGGCTAGGACTGTGACGTCATATATCAGGGGCTAAGGCTGTCACGTCATATATCAGGGTCTATGGCTGTCACGTCATATATCAGGGGCTAGGACTGTCACGTCATATATCAGGGGCTAGGTGTGACGTCATATATCAGGGGCTAAGGCTGTCACGTCATATATCAGGGACTAGGACTGTCACGTCATATATCAGGGGCTAGTGCTGTAACGTCATATATCAGGGGCTATTGCTGTCACGTCATATATCAGGGGCTAGGACTGTCACGTCATATATCAGGGGCTAGGACTGTCACGTCATATATCAGGGGCTAAGGCTGTCACGTCATATATCAGGGGCTAGGACTGCGACGTCATATATCAGGGGCTAGGGCTGTCACGTCATATATCAGGGGCTAGGATTGTCACGTCATATATCAGAGGCTAGGATTGTCACGTCATATATCAGGGGCTAGGGTTGTCACGTCATATATCAGGGGCTAGGGTTGTCACGTCATATATCAGGGGCTAGGGCTGTCACGTCATATATCAAGGGCTACGGCTGTCACGTCATATATCAGGGGCTATGGTTGTCACGTCATATATCAGGGGCTAGGGTTGTCACGTCATATATCAGGGGCTATGTTTGTCACGTCATATATCAGGGGCTAAGGCTGTCACGTCATATATCAGGGGCTAGAGCTGTCACGTCATATATCAGGGGCTAAGATTGTCACGTCATATATCAGGGGCTAGGGTTGTCACGTTATATATCAGGGGCTAGGACTGTCAGGTCATATATTAGGGGCTAGGACTGTCTACCAGCACAACATGTGTGTATTTAAGCCGCCTCCCCCTAGACCACACATCCGCAAGTTTCTCTACGTCATCGAGCACTTTTAGCGCCCTCCCCCTCTCACATGAGCCGTTGTGAAACAGCCCCCCCTCCCCCACATGAGCCGTTGTGACCCCCCCCCCCCCCACATGAGAGGTTGTGAAACAGCCAGCTCACACATACAGCTTCACATGGCGGCACCTGACGGAGTTCCTGCATGCTGGCATCGATCACGTCTCTCTCTCTCTCTCTTCTCTCTCTCTCATCACGGCTACACGGGTGGAGGGGGTGGAACTCGAGATCCTTTGCTGTGCATACGTTATGTTAATCAAACAGCTACGCATGCCGCGCACGGCTAAGAATAGACCCAATAGACGTATTCACTTTTCGCCCGTGTCTAGATTTAATTGAAACTTGTTACCATTCAACCAAATTTACCGACAGTTCAATCAATCAGTGATCAATGCAGTGGCCAGAATCGCTCCTTAAAAACTTCATGAAAGGTCAGATATTTTAACGCTGACCTCTCAAAACTATCGATTTTCTCTTGATTGATCTCGACATTGACAGAAAAAGAGGGCGCAAAATAGAAAGCAACACTTGTCAATGGTTCTCAACACCCCTCACTCGACCACTGCTAGGGGAGCATTCAGTCCAAACACCTCACTGCTAGGGGAGCATTCAGTCCAAACACCTCACACGATCACTGCTAGGGGAGCATTCAGTCCAAACACCTCACACGATCACTGCTAGGGGAGCATTCAGTCCAAACACCTCACTCGACCACTGCTAGGGGAGCATTCAGTCCAAACACCTCACTGCTAGGGGAGCATTCAGTCCAAACACCTCACACGATCACTGCTAGGGGAGCATTCAGTCCAAACACCTCACACGATCACTGCTAGGGGAGCATTCAGTCCAAACACCTCACTGCTAGGGGAGCATTCAATCCAAACACCTCACTGCTAGGGGAGCATTCAGTCCAAACACCTCACTAGACCACTGCTAGGGGAGCATTCAATCCAAACACCTCACACGATAACTGCTAGGGGAGCATTCAGTCTGTCCGGCTGTCAACAACACGACCGTCCGGCTGTCAACAACTTGACCGTCCGGTTGTCAACAACACGACCGTCCGGCTGTCAACAATATCAGCATCCCGGCTGTCAACAACAACAACACCTTTGCCGTGACCCCATACACTACAGTGAACGAAGAAAGACGAGCTTTATGCCCACGACCATGGTATCCCCAGCGCGACCAACCAGCCAACACATCACGCGACCAACGAATGGTGCCAAGGCCACGAATGATAACCCTCACTTGTTTGTTGGCAAAAACTAACCTTGAGGAAAAAACCGCTGGGTACAGGTTTTCTTAGTCACCTGTCAGGTAAAACTACCGGGGAACAAAGTATTGGGCTCTGTGGGAAAAGTAGTCCACACAAACATACTCATGTAGAGGGTCACCACTGGCTGTGACGGGGTCACCACTGGCCGTGACGGGGTCACCACTGGCCGTGACGGGGTCACCACTGGCCGTAGCGGGGTCACCACTAGCCGTAGCGGGGTCACCACTAGCCGTAGCGGGGTCACCACTAGCCGTAGCGGTGACCTGCGAGAGTGACGGTGCTGCAGGTATTACATGTGATCTAGTGTCACCAGCTGATGTGGTGATCTAGTGTCACCAGCTGATGTGGTGATCTAGTGTCACCAGCTGATGTGGTGATCAAGTGTCACCAGCTGATGTGGTGATCAAGTATCACCAGCTGATGTGGTGATCTAGTGTCACCAGCTGATATCGTGATCTAGTGTCACCAGCTGATATGGTGATCTAGTGTCACCAGCTGATATGGTGATCTAGTGTCACCAGCTGATGTGGTGATCTAGTGTCACCAGCTGATGTGGTGATCAAGTATCACCAGCTGATATCGTGGTCTAGTGTCACCAGCTGATGTGGTAATCTAGTGTCACCAGCTGATGTGGTGATCTAGTGTCACCAGCTGATATCGTGATCTAGTGTCACCAGCTGATGTGGTGATCTAGTGTCACCAGCTGATATGGTGATCTAGTGTCACCAGCTGATGTGGTGATCTAGTGTCACCAGCTGATGTGGTGATCAAGTATCACCAGCTGATATCGTGGTCTAGTGTCACCAGCTGATGTGGTAATCTAGTGTCACCAGCTGATGTGGTGATCTAGTGTCACCAGCTGATATCGTGATCTAGTGTCACCAGCTGATGTGGTGATCTAGTGTCACCAGCTGATGTGATCTAGTGTCACCAGCTGATATGGTGATCTAGTGTCACCAACTGATGTGGTGATCTAGTGTCACCAGCTGATGTGGTGATGTGGTGGAGCTGTCCCAAACCGCCGAGAACCAGACCAGGATCTGGGACATTGTTGTTCCATCCACCTTGACCTGCCGGCCAGATGACTCATGTACGTGTGATATCTAGCCTAGCCAAGGGTTGGGTGTGCGATCGATGCGACGATTCTCAGACGTCACTTGTACATTCATCACAAACATCCACTCCCGCTGGGCTCGTCATTAAGTATGCCATTCCTGATTGGGTTGGTGCGGGAGGCGGGGGGGGGGGGATAACATAACGCCTACAACAATGCTGAAACACAAAAGTGCAACTCGTTTTTGTCTGGAAACAATAATCGTCGGAGATTTGGATTGGTTGGAACAAAGGATGTTGTCCGAATGGCGAGAAGTAAAAATGTCATGTTGCGAAAATATGTGCTGATAACAGCCGGCTAGTTCCGCGTGTGACCGTGTGCTACCGGCTAGATCCGTGTGACATGCTAGAGTGCACGTCCACACAGATGGCCACTCCCGCTGGCATCAGCTGGTCTAGGGGTCACATAGCTCCCATACCTGTACAACCTGTGCAGGTAGATTTCCCACTGCACCAGGTAAACACCACTACACAGAGAATCTTACAGACCAGCACACGATGAGGCCAGCACATGATGAAACATGTGGCCTGTCTGTCGACATTCGTTACTAATGGCAAATAACAGTAACCCTGGTCAACGGTAGACCAACATATGGACTGTGGTCTAGGTTGACCATCACATGGACTGTGGTCTAGGTTGACCATCACATGGACTGTGGTCTACAGCAGACCATCACATGGACTGTGGTCTACAGCAGACCATCACCATGGACTGTGGTCTACAGCCAACCATCACATGGACTGTGGTCTACAGCAGACCATCATATGGACTGTGGTCTACAGCAGACCATCACCATGGACTGTGGTCTACAGCAGACCATCACATGGGTATTTGCCAACACAAACAACATTTAACGATAGAATGTCCAAGGGAAGGGGGTTAATACTAATGTAATGACATTACCATAGTATCTAGATAATTATCTATCATCTAAATTCTAATTTCACAAAGGGGGAAAAATCAAATTCCACTTACGTAATTCCACAAACCACTCTAGCACCTCGGGTGGTAAACATTAAACACTCCCCCCTCCCCCAGCTGGTAAACAAAGCTCACAACCTACACAGCACAGAATAACAAATCCGATCTATAAATATCCTGCGCTATGATAGTAAATTATCCAAGTGTTCGATGCGCGAGCCAATCAAATGCGTGCAGAAAACAACAACAACAACACGCTGACGTCACGGACTGATCTTCTGACAAGATGCACTCACTACACCAGCAAGCTATCCATGAAAGAAACCAATCTAGCCCTATGAACGAGTTATCCGTTTATCCACATGTTTGGGAATCCAAATGGGAATCCAGCTAGCATTGGGCTAGAAAAACGGGACTGATTCACAGACAGGCGACCCCCTCTCTCTCTCTCGCTTGCCTACAGCTGGTTGTTTTCGCCGAGCCAGCTGTATCCTAGACTGCTGGCTCAAGCAAATTCGCCATATCGCTAGCTAGCACAGCGCACTCACTTCATCTGACAATGGGGATCCTTAGACCAAATTTAATCTACTTGAAATACAGCCCCACCACTCTTACACGTCATCGGAGATTAATAATTCAATAGAAAAAAATTGTTCTTAACAAACTATCGTTATAATAGTGCTAACATAAGTATAGCGGGTTATAGTGTTAAATCCATGATTACAATAGATCGTCTTTTGAATTTAACGGATCATAGTTTGCTGTATGAGCCATAGTGAACTCTTAAGTAGACATGTCCCCCTTGTTTAAGTCGACCCCTCATTATAAAGTACTGTCGTCGTCACCCCCTCCCCCTTACACCATACACCTGTATATACATGTCATGCTGACCAAAAAAGGACGTCCATTGTTAACCAACATAACAACAGCCCAATTGTCCAATTTAAACTTCACAGATATGCTAAATTATCACAGCTAGGCTTTAACACGCACTCGTGTTTTTGTACACATGGAATATTTAAGTCTACAAACACACATGTGCTCTGTTTTTGTACACATGGAATATTTAAGTCTACAAACACACATGTGCTCTGTTTTTGTACACATGGAATATTTAAGTCTACGAACACACAGGTGCTGTTTTTGTACACATGGAATATTTAAGTCTACAAACACACAGGTGCTGTTTTTGTACACATGGAATATTTAAGTCTACAGAACAAACACACAGGTGCTCTGGAACTATCAGAACACTTTAATATCACCTTACTGGAACTATCAGAACACTTTCATATCACACCTTACTGGAACTATCAGAACACTTTCACATCACACCTTACTGGAACTATCAGAACACTTTCACATCACACCTTACTGGGACTATCAGAACACTTTCACATATCACCTTACTGGAACCATCAGAACACTTTCATATCACCTTACTGGAACTATCAGAACACTTTTATATCACCTTACTGGAACTATCAGAACACTTTTTTATCACCTTACTGGAACTATCAGAACACTTTCATATCACCTTACTGGAACTATCAGAACACTTTCACATCACACCTTACTGGAACTATCAGAACACTTTCATATCACCTTACTGGAACTATCAGAACACTTTCATATCACCTTACTGGAACTATCAGAACACTTTTATATCACCTTACTGGAACTATCAGAACACTTTCACATCACACCTTACTGGAACTATCAGAACACTTTCATATCACCTTACTGGAACTATCAGAACACTTTCACATCACACCTTACTGGAACTATCAGAACACTTTCATATCACCTTACTGGAACTATCAGAACACTTTCACATCACACCTTACTGGAACTATCAGAACACTTTCACATCACACCTTACTGGAACTATCAGAACACTTTCATATCACCTTACTGGAACTATCAGAACACTTTCACATCACACCTTACTGGAACTATCAGAACACTTTCACATCACACCTTACTGGAACTATCAGAACACTTTCATATCACCTTACTAGAACTATCAGAACACTTTCATATCACACCTTACTGGAACTATCAGAACACTTTCATATCACCTTACTGGAACTATCAGAACACTTTCACATCACACCTTACTGGAACTATCAGAACACTTTCACATCACACCTTACTGGAACTATCAGAACACTTTCACATCACACCTTACTGGAACTATCAGAACACTTTCATATCACCTTACTGGAACTATCAGAACACTTTCATATCACACCTTACTGGAACTATCAGAACACTTTCACATCACACCTTACTGGAACTATCAGAACACTTTCACATATCACCTTACTAGAACTATCAGAACACTTTCACATCACACCTTACTGGAACTATCAGAACACTTTCACATAACACCTTACTAGAACTATCAGAACACTTTAATATCACCTTACTGGAACTATCAGAACACTTTCATATCACACCTTACTGGAACTATCAGAACACTTTCACATCACACCTTACTGGAACTATCAGAACACTTTCACATATCACCTTACTAGAACTATCAGAACACTTTCACATCACACCTTACTGGAACTATCAGAACACTTTCACATATCACCTTACTAGAACTATCAGAACACTTTCACATCACACCTTACTGGAACTATCAGAACACTTTCACATAACACCTTACTGGAACTATCAGAACACTTTAATATCACCTTACTGGAACTATCAGAACACTTTAATATCACCTTACTGGAACTATCGGAACACTTTTATATCACCTTACTGGAACTATCAGAACACTTTCACATCACACCTTACTGGAACTATCAGAACACTTTCACATCACACCTTACTGGAACTATCAGAACACTTTCACATATCACCTTACTAGAACTATCAGAACACTTTCACATCACACCTTACTGGAACTATCAGAACACTTTCACATAACACCTTACTGGAACTATCAGAACACTTTAATATCACCTTACTGGAACTATCAGAACACTTTAATATCACCTTACTGGAACTATCGGAACACTTTTATATCACCTTACTGGAACTATCAGAACACTTTCACATCACACCTTACTGGAACTATCAGAACACTTTCACATCACACCTTACTGGAACTATCAGCACCACAACACTTTTTACACCCCAGCCCTCCCCCACCCACCGTCTCCCCACCCCCACACAGTGAATTATCGACCACCAATCACAGGAGGCTGTCAGTCACGTAGACAATATTTCACCGAAAGCCTGGGCACTGGGCGGTTTTCTAACGGACGGACAGCTCTACTGGCCAACTGTCCTACTGGCCAACTGTCCTACTAGCCAACAGACCAACTGTCCTACTGGTCAATAGACCAACTGTCCTACTGGTCAACTGTCCTCCTGGTCAACAGACCAACTGTCCTACTGGTCAACAGTCCTACTGGTCAACTGTCCTACTGGCCAACAGTCCTACTGGTCAACTGTCCTACTGGCCAACAGACCAACTGTCCTACTGGCCAACTGTCCTACTGGTCAACTGTCCTACTGGCCAACTGTCCTACTGGCCAACAGACCAACTGTCCTACTGGCCAAGTGTCCTACTGGCCAAGTGTCCTACTGGTCAACTGTCCTACTGGCCAACAGACCAACTGTCCTTCTGGCCAACAGTCCTACTGGCCAACTGTTCTACTGGCCAATTGTCCTACTGACTAATAGACCAACTGTATCACTGGTCAACAGTCTCATCTGGATTAAGAACGTCAGTCATTTCGCCCATACCACAACCAGCAGTTAGAAAATGCCTTGGCCTAGGGCCAGCTTAATATCCCCCACATAACGTGCACTGTTATTATCGTCTAGTACATAAACATAGAAAAAACAGCGATTATAATGTCTGAAGAGGTTATGTAACTGCAGCCTAGACATGTATGAGGAAATCAATCAAGTTTTCCCCCAAGTTTCATTATTCCACACTTAATTGGCTTTCTTGTAGGTACACAAACACATGAGTTAGATGGCAGGGAAAACTGTCGCATTTTACACAAACGGCAGCTGAACTAATTCCGAGAAGGATTCACAGCAAAGTTAAATTATTTAATATTACGGAATAAATATATAGATCTGTCACTTCCAATATACACTTACTCACTTCAACGTGTTTTAACAAGTTAAGTGACTGAATTCACCTACCACTAGCTGACCAGTGGCTGGATTCACCTACCACTAACTGACCAGTGCTGGATTCACCTAACATTAACTGACCAGTGGCTGGATTCACCTACCACTAACTGACCAGTGGCTGGATTCACCTACCACTAACTGACCAGTGGCTGGATTACACTGCAACTAGCTGACCAGTGGCTGGATTCACCTACCACTAACTGACCAGTGGCTGGATAACACTATCATTAACTGACCAGTGGCTGGATTCACCTACCACTAACTGACCAGTGGCTGGATTACACTATCATTAACTGACCAGTGGCTGGATTCACCTACCACTAACTGACCTGTGGCTGGATTACACTATCATTAACTGACCAGTGGCTGGATTCACCTACCACTAACTGACCAGTGGCTGGATTCACCTACCACTAACTGACCAGTGGCTGGATTCACCTAACATTAACTGACCAGTGGCTGAATTCACCTACCACTAACTGACCAGTGGCTGGATTACACTATCATTAACTGACCAGTGGCTGGATTCACCTACCACTAACTGACCAGTGGCTGGATTACACCATCATTAACTGACCAGTGGCTGGATTCACCTACCACTAACTGACCAGTGGCTGGATTCACCTACCACTAACTGACCAGTGGCTGGATTCACCTACCACTAACTGACCAGTGGCTGGATTACACTATCATTAACTGACCAGTGGCTGGGTTCACCTACCATTCACTGACCAGTGGCTGGATTCACCTACCACTAACTAACCAGTGGCTGGATTCACCTACCACTAACTGACCAGTGGCTGGATTACACTGCAACTAGCTGACCAGTGGCTGGATTCACCTACCACTAACTGACCAGTGGCTGGATTACACTATCATTAACTGACCAGTGGCTGGGTTCACCTACCATTCACTGACCAGTGGCTGGATTACACTGCAACTAGCTGACCAGTGGCTAGGTTCACCTACCACTAACTGACCAGTGGCTGGATTCACCTACCACTAACTGACCAGTGGCTGGATTCACCTAACATTAACTGACCAGTGGTTGGATTCACCTACCACTAACTGACCAGTGGCTGGATTCACCTACCACTAACTGACCAGTGGCTGGATTACACTGCAACTAGCTGACCAGTGGCTGGATTCACCTACCACTAACTGACCAGTGGCTGGATTACACTATCATTAACTGACCAGTGGCTGGGTTCACCTACCATTCACT